GGAGATGTGTAGCACTCAACCACCTAGCATACACTTTGAGATGTGTGACACTCACACTAGGACTTTCTTGGATGTATCTGATCGAAATTGCGGTTTCTCATGACTGCATCTGACCACAATTAAGCTCAGATAAATATCAAAAACATCCTACCGTCCTCACCTCGACACTGTTTTTGGAGCAACTTTCAGTCTCGATGCAGTGATAATGATTGGGCATTCTATTCAGTCTTCACGGTTGTGTGAGTGTGCCGCGAGATTAGTAGCATTTAACCAACAGACATCCATGTGTTGTCCCGGGCCTCATTGTCCCTAAAGGACACCTTGCGAAACCAAAACAGGAGCACAAACAAATGCAGGGAAAATGAACGATAGCGAAATGACAGAAATCCAGAATGCAAAATCACATTGAAAGTCAGCAAGTTCAACGCTGTCCAGAAAGCAGAAATACACTGATATTGCACAAACAACGGTGAACCAAAGCACTGAATCTGAATGTCAATGAGAGCATACTCTCGCTACCACCAACACATGTATCCAGACTCCTTCCTCCTACTTGGCGCTCAACGCCCAGACTACACAGCTACTTGCATCCCGTTGATGTCAATAGCAAAACCGAAGTACATGAAGATACCGACCCTTCTAGACCATCGCCAAGACCAGGTATGTGCCCTCACTTCATCAACCTCGCCTCTCTCTCTCCCTCATCCTCGACTTTCTCACCCTCATGCACAAAGACCACCACCACCCACTGACTAAGATCCAAGCCCCAGCCTGGCTATGAAGGTTGGGCTATGGCGCTGCCCTCAACAGCGCTCTGTACCCTCTCGACGCCCGTGCGCGCCTACACCTAGCGCTAGCGCAGTAAGCAGCCCGCGAGTCTACGCTCTAGCAGCGCTGCCGCCCGCAAGTGTAAGTGCCTCAATATCCCTTCCAGTGGCGAGCTCTTTCCTTTATGGAAAGTGCTCGCCCAGTCTGCTATGTGGTTGGGCCTCGCGTGTTTCCAGTAACTTCCGTTTAGGCCAAAGTGTCTGCGCCCAGGCCTATTCAGACGGTGGCCTGTGACCAAATTGGTTAGGCCTAGCCAACCACCCAGGAGGAAACGTGAGAATCTCCCTGCTTCGCCTGTGCTGCTGGAAGAACTTGGTAGGCTCACAAATTATTTTTGATTCTCACGAGTAGGAGGATGTAACGAACTTTTTTTTTTTTTATTTATAAATAAAAACGGGCCCAGTGCCCAAGGGTGATATTAATATTTGAGAAAGTTGAGGCCGGGGTCCTCACAGTCTACCCGAAGTAACTAGACAGAACATGCCAAGGATCAGACCCAGCGTCCCTCAGATGATGATGATGATGATGAAGATGATGATGATGATAATGAGAATGATAAATTTTTGTTTGTCAAAATCTAAGACAATAATGCTAAAGAAAATGATGACCAACAGATTTGAGATAATTACTAAATACTAATCAGGATGTTCATCTACTTATAACTCAACTTCTTTCCTCTCCCCAATTTCTGGTATCCATACTTTTTCTTTTTTTCTTTTCCCAGCAAGAACATGAATTGAAAGTAGAACCAGCCTCTTCAACCCTTTTGGGCCGCCAGAGAAACAGAGTCAACCTAGCAGTTCTACCCTCTTAACCAAAATAAGCTATAGTACTAGAATTTCAAACAGACTTCTACCGTACCTTCCCCTATACCCAGAATACCACTTAACATCTCAGACTAACTACAGAAAGGAGAAACCATTAAAAGCTTAATCCCCAAAACTAGCTCAGAGTGAACCCAACTTCATAATATATCTGAACCAAACCATCGCAGATCCACCATCACATGTTCCGAAAGAGGAAAAAGGTCACAGAGCGAATCAAGCGATTTCAAAAAGACTTCTGGCTATATATCGAACCAGTTGTAGAAGAAGATATTATAGTCTCTCTTGAAACTTTTATCTCCTTCCCCCCCTGACCACTTCACCTCTCCCAACTTCCTTTCTGAACGTTCCCCCGACCGGTTTGTTTGAAATTTATGAAGTACCATCCTAATATCATGTTTTTGAGTCATACTAGTTTGAATTGTAATTTTAATTTTGGACCATTGGGCTCTAACCTTTGTTTGCGCGAATGGAATGATTATTTCATTAATTTCTTGACCGTCAATTTTGACTTCCTCCCAGAAAGAACACATCTCCTATACCATACTGCCCATAAAATCGCCTTTCTCCCCAGATTGAAAAAAACTACTTTGAAATTTTATCATATCTATCAATATTGAGTTTCAATGTCCCAAAAACAATGCTCTCCAATCCCAGGGTCATTTCAAACCTGTGAGTTTGAACCATATGTAATCCCATCTTCTACAGAGTAGACCAACTTCAGGGCATTGTAAAAGAATATGTTCGATGGTTTCCGTAATCTTCCCAAGGCCGAGGCACATGCCGGACACCATGGTAAGGCCAAAACCTTTTGCTCAAAAGACGAATGATCAATGAGCCAATCATAAGTTGGCAGACACCTATGTACAATCTGCCACTGTAATGAAGCAATCTTTGCTAGTCTTTCCTTCAGATTTTTGAACCATTTAATTGGGGAAAGTAGATCTGTATGAATATTAAGTTGCCTATACCATCTCTCTTTTGCTATAGAAGCGACATCAATTTTTGCACGAAGTAGGCGGTACAAGGCCTTGACTGTTAGGGAAAACAGACTTTGAGGTTTACATCTTTTATTAGTTTTCCAGGACCATTCTATTAGGTCTATTGGAAGTTCAGGAATTGGTAATTGAGGGAAGTAAACCCTTCATTTGTTGCTGCTTGAACAGTAAATTACCCTGATCTTGTATATAACCGAATTAGGAAAAAAAAACACTATGTTTTGATTTGCATGAGGAATTAAGTGGTTTTTGCTAATTCTGCACATATTAAGTAAGGCGTCATCGTGAACTATGTTCAAGACTTGCCCAACAACCGTAGACCCATCCGGTAGAATACCTCCCACCCAATCTGCCTTTCTAAACTTCGAACCCTTTTTAAGTTCCAATTCCCAAGCTAAGGGAATGGAGGTAAACATCTTGTCCAAATTTTCTATTGAATTTCTAACATACTTGATCTCTTTCCTCAACTGATCCACTGTTTTTTATTTCTTATTAATGAAGCCTCAGAGATCCTTGATCCTCATGGTGCCTGCTTTCACCCATGTTATCCAAGGAAGTTGAGAGTTGATATAGACCCTTCCATTGAAATATGAAATTCATATGTTACCAAAAATAGGTTGCTTGAGGATTTCCTCATATCTTGATGGCAAGGGTCTATTGGGAAGTTGGAGTTTACACCATGTTTTAATTATTTATGTCAAAAAATTATCAAGGATTAGATCCTTAGCTACTATTCCTCAATACCCTAATTGTTTAGAATATGCATTTGCCTTTGGTATGGTCCAATACCTACCCTCTACCCAAGAAAGAGGATGGACCTCTTGCACAGAGGGAGGGGCTAATCTTTTAATTTGTTCTAGCGCGAGTGGCAGCCAGGGAAAATCTATCCCTAAAATTAAGCGTTTTATCCATTGGATGCTCAGTGTTTGTGATTGGAGTGAAGGGTCTAGAATTCCAAGACCTCTCCTTTTTGGGTTGAATAAGAGTATCCCATGCGACTCTAGGAATCACGTTTATCGCCTCGTGGTCTCCCCTCCATAGAAAGGCATGTAACTTTTGCTTGGGATCTTTAATTGGATTCTTATTCAAAGACCAAAAAACTCACTTGTACTAGATAGATGCCAATATGACATTATTAATGATTAGTGCCTTCCCAAATAATGAAGTATGTTGATCTCAATCAACAGGTTGCAGGTTCGATGCCTGGAGGGAGCGATTGTGATTTTCAAATATTGGATTTCACTCTTGGAGGTTATGATTATGAATGAGTTTCAATGCAACATGCTTTAAGCACCTAGGATAATTGTATCCGGGTTAGTCGGCATGCGAACCCCCTTGAGCTACGGCTTCGGGTGGGATACTTACTTGGTTGATGTGACTGGGTGCTCTGGGTCATGGTTGTATGTGATGTACTGACCATGTTGGGGTGGGGTTAAGTCCTCATCTCGGACCTTAACTTTCATCCCAACTCACTTTGCCTTGTGGTAAGCATTCTGATTTTCAATCAGCATGTTGCACGTTTGATGTCTGTAGGGAGTGATTGCGATTTTCAGATATTGGATTTCGTGCTTGGAGGTTATGATTATGAATGAGTTCTCCATTTCTTCATTTTCTCTAATGTTAGGGATGGTATCCAGGCATCATTAGTGTTAGGTTTACCTTGTGCAGTCATCATGACACCCAACACTCTGACAAGTGCGTGTAGAGGAAGCCATTTAACCCCTAGTTCCTTTGGAGGTTTATCCCCTTGTGAATGAATCCACCAACCTTGTGTCTTATAGCCCCAATTAACAACCATATCTGACAAGATTGTGAATCTATTCATAAGGACTCTGATCTCTTCCATATTCTGAGTACAAGCTTCTATCATTAAAGTGAGATCGTCTGCAAACATAGAATAAACCGGAATTGTATCCTTTGAAATTCCTGTGATTTCTAATTTCTTAAGACTAGGATTTATACCTAAAATTTGCTCCCAGAGCTTTCATTATAACCATGAAAAGAAAGGGAGCTGGAGGTTTTCCTTTTCTTACCGATTTTTGAAGCTTTAACTCAGGGGAGAGGAGATCGTCGACTTGCACTCTAGTTGTGGCATTCTGATGAAGAATATTTATCAATTTTCTTAATTTCGGTCCAAAGTTCAACTTTTTCAAACATGCATCCAGAAAGCGTTAGTCTACATGATCATATGCTTTTTCAAAGTCTATAAAAATGAAGGCTGCATTATTTTGATTTTGTATGGAGAGTTTGATCATTTCGTTAATAAGTAGTATATTATCGTTGATATTTCTTCCTTTAACGAATCATGTCTGAGAGGGGTAGATTAAGTCTGCCATTAGGGGGATAAACCTATTAGTTAAAGCCTTTGTTAACATTTTGTAAACCACTGTTAAGAGTGTCATTGGTTTGTAAGTCCTAGTGTTGTATTTCTCTCCCTTCTTGTATGATAGCGTAAGTATACCTTGTCCTACAATTTCTCTCATATGTCCTGATATTTGGACTTGCTCATAATATTCCATAAGATCATCAGCTAAGTGGGTCCACATGGCCTCCCAAAATTCTTTGGGGGACCATCTATTCCTGGGTTTTTTTGCCTTTTTCCATCCGAAGTAGAGCTGTCAAAATCTTATTTTTTTAAATTGGTTCTTCTATTCTGTCTCTCTGTTCCCGTGTTAGCATATGCTCTATATGGGTCATAAATTCTTTCAGCATTCTATCATCGTGAGAATCGTTAATCCTGAAAAGATCTTTAAAGAAATCATACGCTACTTTCAAACTTCCTACTGATGTAGTTGGGTCTTCTTAATAATGAATAATGAGATTGGATAATGCTTCAATATTAGCTTTTCTTGCTTTTACTTTAGCAGGAACAAAAAATGATGCATCCATTTGACCTTCTGTTACATGGTTTCTTAATTTTTCTCTTATTAGGTGCCCATGTCAACAATGTTGTGCAAATGTTAGAAGTTGATTTTTTAAGGCTTGTATATCCAAAGTTTGGGATGAATGTGAGAGATGTTGCTGTTCGTAATGTAGAATTTGCTCTTGAATTTCAATTTCCTGAGAGTTTTTTTCTTTGGTTATTATTTTGGAGTATTTATTACATTTTTTAGCTAAAAATATTAGTCCATTATTGAACCATGAGATGTACGAATCTTGTTCGTTTCTAGAAGTGTGTCAAAATTTTCAAACCACTTGAATACAAGTTTTAAAACTTTTCATATCCAATAAGGAAAATTTTAATTTATAAAAACCTCTTCCTTGATCTGACTTTTTACAAAATGACAAGAGGGCTGCATACATTTTGTGATCCGCTCTGGGCCAAGGACTTTGTGGAAAAACATTAACCCCCAACATTGCTCCATCAAAATCCACCGCCACCATGATTATATCAATTATTGGCCTAGATTGATGAGGTGAGCCACAATTCCTGATGCATATATACATTTGTTTTAGTGGAAAAATTCTTATGAATGAATCAAATAATTTTTTCTCATCACAGAATTGTTGAATAATTCCTTCATCCTCTTGAATATATGATGAACATGACTGAGGAATCTTCCATTGATCTAACTATCTACCAGGAGTTGCATCAAAGTCCCCAGCTATCACCATAGGAATACCTTTTGGAATAGACTACGAATGTCCTGGAAAAAAATTCTACGTTCCCCTATATCATTAAGGGCATAAATATTCATGACACCTATCAATTCAATTTCCAACATTACAATTGCCCAAATCCACCTCCCCTGTTCCTTGTCTGCCTCCCAATGTATTACTTTTATCCTTGAGTCAGGGGAAACAAAAAAAATTACTCTTGCAGATCCATTGTGACTAGCATATGAAGTAAACTTTTGAAAGGGTCAAACTAATTTATGGGCTCGTTGGTAGACGGAGGAATCCATCAGATATGTTTCCTGTATACATATAAGATCTGGCCAAGATTGGTTGTAATGTGAGAGAAATGCAAAGACAAGTATACAAATACACCAATCATTGCAAAACTCAAGTACACATCAGCATGATAAAACATGCATCAAGTACTAACTGTGCTCCGGACAGGTATGGCACCCCGACCTGTTTCGACCGGCGCCACGCGGTCTTCATCAGGGGGAAACCACCTTTCCTCTCCCCACAATGTTCCATACCATCCACTAACCCACCGCCGTCTTTGTACCTCCAGCCATTTCCGGAGATGGCTGGTATCCGTCGACGTCAGACCCGAGAAGGTGCTGGAAAACACATTCTACGCTTATATCCAACCACCAAATCCTACTCCCTTCCAGATTACCTTCGCGAATGTTCCAGTTCGGTCCCCTGCATGGGTCCGAAAGGTCTGCAAGCCATAGGGTCCAAAACTCCTACAGAACCTGTGTCCAACACGGCTACTCAGGGCTTACCAGGCTCCGACCAAAGGGCCTCCTCCGAGCCACTAAAGGCCAGAAAAAATACGCAGACCCAAAACTTTCGTCAGACAAAGCCAGTCGGGACTCTTACCGCTTCAAGAACAGAAACAGAAAATAGAACACCAACCAAACCCACCTAAACAGAAACTCCTTCCTACGAAAGCCCCTATCCCTTGAAAGCATTGTCCCTAACTCCCGGTGTGCCAATCATTCATCTCAGACATAGCACCTAATGTTACATGATCACACATAATCTTGCACAGGAGACATACACACCACACATTCACAATGCCCTTCGCTGTTCCTGCACAAATCCTAATACTCACTCAGCTAAACTGCATTGCCCATGCACCACAGACACTAGTTCCTATATGCTACCACACTCGCAGTTTTTCTGCAGCATCTATGTATCACATATCCAATCTCGCGTCAGTCCCCAGATCTCACCCCTTCCAGTACTGAACCGCTTCAGTGTCCTGTTTACAAATTCCCCTGGAAAATCTTTCAGTCTCAGTTCTCTGCTGAGCGTGAGGACACGCCATGCCAGTGGTATCTCGGACCGCAAAGCCGTATTGCTGTCAATGCGGTGCAGGTAGCTTGCTACTACTGCACTCTTCGCCTGCTTACTTCCCCATGATCGGTAGCTCTGCCCGCACTTAAATTCCAGCGACTCAGTAGTCCATACCGGCTTCTCGTTCTTCGAAACTTGCACGCTGCTCACATGCGGTGACACATCCCTCACGCACATCTCCAATCCTAGGAAATCCCACATCCCGTTACCCTCATCAGTCCTCTTAAGCGTCAGGTTGCCCGGATAGCAGCTCTCAAAGCTGCTTCTGATCCTCTCCTCGGTTGCACTTCCCATCCCCCTTCCTACATCGATGATCAGGCTGACGTCATCCATCAGCCTTAATCCATACACTCTTCTCCTCAGATTTCCCAGACTGCTAAGGAATTTGAACTCGGAGTATGTGCACAGTATGCACGCCAACGGTAGGCTTGTACTTTTGCCCATCGGAATGCCTAGGAGCACCCCTGTTGCATACACATATGTATGCTCCAAGTCAACGCTGACGAAATCCTTAATATCACTCAGCTTCATTGCCCTCCAATGGTCGGCCCCTGTTGTCCGTCCAAACGTACACCCTTTCCCTCTTGTATTCACCCGGATGGTGTCCTGTCCTTTACTAACGTAGTGGTCAATGATCCAGGTAACTGCCTCCATGATATCGTGGTGCGACAGCTTACTGAACATGTCCTTAACGTCGTAGGACATGGCAGTCAGCTGCACCGCAGAGTTCGGCTTGGCATCACATTTCTTGTTTATCTTCTCAATGCGCATGGTCACCTCAGAGACTGATCTCAGGTTGAAGTGCCATAGTGCTGGCAGATGGAACAACATGTGGTTCAGGGCCTTGGCTACACATTTTCCGGTCCTCGTTGCTGGTCCGAGTACGATGGACAGATCGGACGGAATCGCTGAACATCCTTATGTTTTGGCATGATGTACGCAACCCCGAAGGTCCCCCGCTTCTCGTATCTAGCGAACCTGGTCAGACCCTCCTTCTTGAAAGCCATATGGACCGTCTCCTTGACTTCCTCCTCACTCTGCTGTACCACTTCATACCCGGGATTGATGACGAAAGTACCCATCATTGCTTCAAAGTAAAGGTAAGGGCACATCACATAGGTTTCCCCTGGATTCCTATCTCGGGGTGTCAAAACTAACCCTTCGAATCTCCTCCTAGTCTCCTTCACGACCTCGATATCCAGGCTGATATCGCCCGACGTTTCACTGCTAATCAAGTAGGATCTGACCTCTTCACTAGTCACACATAATGTTCGCCCTCCGTCGTTCCCCCAACGCCCAAAAGCTTTTTCGATCTCGCGTCTCAGAAGATTCATTCGATCAGGATGCCGCGTCTTAGGTATGTTGTTTCCATTACAGAGAATCGGGTGCACTCCATCCACCTCATGTAGACGAAAGCTGACTTGGGTAGGGGAGACCTGCGCAAGTGCAGGTAGACACAGCCGCCCGTGAGAAAGTGCGCTGGTTGTGCAGTATTTCCGTAACCGACTGATTTTTTGCCCAGACTGTACGTACTTTACTTTGTGTCCTCTTCGCCATACATGCAGGCAAAGCGAGTTCCTCGATCTTGTTGTTGACAACCTTCCTAACTTCCGCTAACTTCACCCTGTCGTCGAACTTAACCTTCACGGTGAGTTCGGCACTCATCACCCATCTTGTCTTCTCCTTGATCGTTCTTCCGATGATTCGCCTTTCGGCGTTCCACGTTTCGGTGTGTATCTCTTTGGGATCTTGCTTCCTCCCTCCTCCGGCTTACCCTTCTTCGTGTTTTTCTTCGATGCTATTGTCTGCAGCTTAGCCGCCAGTTTTACCGGCTTCACCTTCATGCTTCATGGTGTTCATTTCGGCGGTACTTCCATCGATGGACTGTTCCCGATGGTAGCGTTCGGACTCCTCTTCCGCTTATCCCCGATTGTCAAGTCTTTCGCCCTCTGGCTAATCTCCTCGACCTCGCTTGCTTCCAAATTACTGGTATACGATGTCGGCGATCCCGGTGGTGTTGATGTTGGCGATGCCGCTGCTTGTTTCCCTTTAATGATAGCGTTGAACGCTTCCATGCTCCTCCGCATCTCTTCTTGCATCTGTTCTCTCAGGCCTCCCACGCATACTGCTAATTGCAGGCGCATCGCCTTACTCAACTCCATTTTTTCCTCCTCCGCCTTCTTAATCTTTGCCTGCTTCTTCACGATACGTCTCTCTTTAGCTATGCGTGCTTTCTCCCTCGCTTGGCGCTCCATTTCTTCCCGGTGTTGTCTCTCCATCTTCTCCTGTTTACGCCGTTCTTTCTCCTCTTTCTTCCTGTTCTCCCGCTCGATATAATCCTGGAAGTTGGCGACCGATTTGCCGAACTCTTGCTGGTTCTGGTTTCGGCATACCCGAGCTACTTCCCCCGCCTTTTGCAGCAGCTCCCTCACTCCGCTTCCAACACTGGTTCCTATAGTGGCCTGGTTCTCCACAATCAAAGCATACGAGGGGTCCTCTCCTTACGTAGTCCCCGCCCCCATGACCCCGGTCACTCATTTCCTGATAGTCATCGCAGCTCCTTCCACACGTTCTCTCCCTCGAGTCTTCACGTTTGGTATCCCGACCTCTTTCATAGTAGTCATTCCTGACATCTTTACCATACGCTCGGTAACTGCGACCACCCATCGTCGTCAACGTCAATCCTTCTGCGCGCGATCGTGGCTGCGCTAGTGGCTGGCCACTACCAACCTTATAACCGCACCGTCTCTGCGCACTGTTCACTCCACACGGTGTATAGCTTCCAGTCGTCACTTCACCTCGTGGTGCAGACGTGTCACCACTACGCATCACGGCCAAGTTCGTCCCCCCACCCCTTTCAGTTGTTCTATTATAGCTCTCCTCTTTTCAACACCGACTTTGGTCAAACCATTAACATTGAGGGACCGCAAGTTTAGGTCCGCTTCCTTTGTCGCTCTTTGCCAGTTTACATTTTTTCCATAAAATGTTTTTAATGCATCCATCACTGTCAGAGCCTTTAATTACCTACTATCTGAGCGAACCTACAATCGAGTTCAATTTCCTCCCTCTAACGGACAGGAAGTAGAGGTGAGTAATGAAAGTGTCCCTCTTGGTCATTTTTGTCTGGTCGCTTATTTCTATGTGTTGCTTGTGGACCAGGATCATCGTGTTTTGAAAGAAAATCATGCAAATGTCATTTAAAGGTTCGATCACCCACATTCCGATAATCAACGTATGAAGTTCATCCTCTTAATGTCACTGCCCCATATTGGTCACTTCCAATTGGGGAAAGACCAACCTCCCATCTCCCTGCCTTTTTCCTAACTGGAATGATCAGATTACCTTTATGTACTTGATTCTTAGATGCATGACCTTTTTCCACTAAATGCCTTATTTTCTGTCTTTTTTCCTGTTCCCCCAACCCATTGTACTGAGGTGAGTGAGTTTTTCCTGGGTCTGTTTTAGATTCCTCAACATTGGATTGTTGAGAGGATATTGCCCTAATTCCTCTTCCTTTCCTCTTGTAATTTCCGTGTTTTCTGTGTCTTGTTCCTTTCCTTCGTTTTGTAGGGGAGAAGTACATTGTTGTATCAAATCCTCACTTTCTTTTTCCTCACTAATCACATTCTCACTTTTATCTTCTTTCTGATCCCCCACCTTGATGCCCCTTTCCTCTTCCACTTGTGTGGCATTTAAAACCATTGGAGCCAACACAATCACTGTGCTGGTTTCCTGGTTTGACTCAGTGCCTACCTTTGGAGGGGGCTCAAAGACATTCAGCACTATGGCTAAAATTTTTTGTCTGACAATGGTTCATTCGGAGCCTTCTGGAAGTCCGTGCTGTAGGACATTCTTTAGAATGAGACTGCTGGTTAACATTTCTACCAACTGCACATATGAAGCATCCAAGAACTCAACCGAGGCTTCCCCATATTTATCCTTTAAGTTCTTAAGCAGCCATTCTGCCAGTTCGGTGACTTGATGATCCTTTGAAATATTCGTGGCAGATGAGTCCGCGGCCTCTACATCTTCCATTACAAAATCCCCTTGCACGGAGGCTTAGTCCACCTCCATCGAGTTGGACCAAATGTTGTATGGAAGGGGTCTAATTCTGTTGCAAGAGAGCTCGTAAAGACAATTTAACTTGGAGTTTTACATATCGTGAAACAAATTACATTGTAGCTCGCGCCGCTGTACTGCGCTTTAAACAACCCCTCTACTCGTGCCTCACTCAGACTGCTTACCGAGTTCACCCTCGGCGTTCCTTTTTATATTGTTTTTCCTACTACCGGGCAGTGCCCAATTCCGAAAAAACGTTCGGACCTGCTTCCCACGATTATCTCGCAGGTTCAGGTCACATTCCGATATTACCGAAAAAACTACTAGAAACATCAATAGTATGCACAAAATTTTTTGGGGTCCATGTCACTGCGAAAACTCCCCCAGGACCTTCATGAAAAACAACAACTTTTTTGTCGATATTACGCTACCTTGCTTTGGACAAGGTTGTGTCCCATACTTTGCATTCGGCGGAATGATCTGGCTCTGGGGGGCGATTGCTACTGCCCTGCGTACCGGCTTCTTTCCCGCTTCAGACCCTCGGAGTTTCTCGCCACCCTGCATACGTTTCTCCCTCCCTCTCCTGCCGTTGTATGAGTGTATCTGCGGTCCTCACTGTTGCAAGTTTTTCTACAAACTGCTGCCCCACTGTCTCTTGCTGAGAACCTTCCCCCGTTGATGAGATTCTTGTTGTATGCTGACATCCTTCCTGGAGACCTCCCTTCTTTTCTGCTTCTTCTGTGTGCTTGTTTTCCTCTTTTTTCTTTTTAAATTTTCTGGCTCAGAATTTTTTATTTTATGCATTTAATTTATCTCACTTTCCGAATCAGATGCTGAAATTATTTTGGGGACAGACGCAACAAAACTTCCTCCAGTTTTTATTTCTTCATTCTCAATATAATCTGCTGGAGTTGGGCCAGACTACTGGGTTCCACGATTGATCGGTTTCCAAATACTTTCTTACTTACTTGAACCCATCCTGTTCTCTGGGTGGCTAATCTGTGAGCATCTCGTCCCACCGAATTCTATCCTTGGGGATTTTCCATAGACAAGGGCCTTTGGGTCTGCACTGCACCCCTTTGAGTGCCTATAGAACCACCAACATAATCTTGCCTACAGTCCCACTTGGTGGACCCATGACACCACTAGTTTGTCTTTGAGAACCCTCCCCTGCACCTTTTTTCTGTGACTGTGACTTACTGGCCAACTCTGGTGGAATCCAACTCTCCGGAGGTTTTGATTCCAACTTAGGCTCACCCTCTCTTTCCCATATCCATCCTTTGGATGGTTCTCCTTTCCTTGTGCTTTCCACATGATAGACCCACCCCTCATGTCCAACGTCCATAGTCCTCCATAGTGATTGCTTAAACGGATCTCTAATCAGCCTACCTGATGCTCTGCTCCTCTTTTGAGGGTTCTGTGCACATGAAGTGTCCGAGCTCAGGTGTCCGTATGCTTTGCATTTGAAACACCACGGCCTTAGTTTATGGGCCATGTGAATATGATACTCTTTACCGCCTATCCGATATGGAATGACATCGTCCAGATTAAACGGTATATTAGGTGGGTGGTTCAGAGCCAACTGGCGCGTGGCAACTGTCTGACGCCCAACAAACTTTGCCAAAATTGACGAACTCAGACCATTATACTGAAATCCAAGGGCCCGCCTTCACTTAGGGCGGACTCATGGTTGCCCAAATGGCCCCACAAGGGCATGCTGAGGAGTGAACTCGGTTTTTTTTTTTTTTTTTTTTTTTTTTTTGAAACGATGCTCCAATCTATTCGTGGGAAGCAACATGGCTGGGAACCGGACCCAGCGTCCCTTATCAAAATACAAAAAATGAGTTACCCGGGCCATTACCCGACCTCGGCTAAGAACAATTGAAGAAAAGGGAAAACTCAAAAACGTTCATGGTCCACTACTCAAACTCTACCAAGTCACTAGAATATGTGTGTCAAAAAGCCTCCCAACCACGAATCAGATAGGTGAAACCTACTCAATCCACCTATGACCACAACCAGCATGGCCGTTTTCAGCACGAACCGAAGCTTCTCCAGGCCTCATCCTCTCATCAGGTTAGGTTACAGAGTTGCACCACCTTGCTCCAGCACCGGCCCGCATTGCTCCAGTTACGACCCCTGATGACCACTGAGACTTCCCCCGCAAACAGCCCCCCAGATCTCTCTATTCAGGCCTCACGCCCCCACTAAGCTAGGTCACAGAGTTGCGCCACCTGGCTCCGGCTCCGGCTCCGGCCAGCGTTGCTCCAGCATCGGTCTTCGAGGGCCACCAAATCTTTGACCACCCTTCACAGGATCAGATGACTTGCCAGATAGCACCTATTCCTACAACCTCCTCGAGAGGCAAGCCAAATGGAAAGAACTACTAAACTGGATGTTAGAATTCTTTGACAGAGCTCGCCCCTCCCTCTCCCTACCCCTCTCCCCTCAGCCCTTTTTTTTTTTTTTTTTTCAAGTCCATGGTGTTGTAGAGGCCAGTCACTGAGTACACAGTGATCACCTGGAGCACTAGGCCATGGGTGTCCTGGAATATGAGACCACCTCCCATCCCATCCTCACGTCAATACTCCTAGCGCACCCCCTATCCCACTATCCTACCTCAGTGTGACCAGCACTCAGGACCGTTGCCCTACACAATGGGCAGGTAACTTGGACCCAACAACAGTGTGCCTCCACCGAGGCAAGTCACCCACTCTCCCTCGGCCCCAATATAGGACCAACCCTCTACCCCCCTTTCCCCAGGAGCATGCAGTTCCCACCTAAAGCATGCCCCCAGCCGCCCCTTGCCCACTTCTGCCTCCGATGGGACTGACGTTGACCCACACACCAGCCCCTACCCCAGAATAGGGCAACCTCGTATTCCGCCCCTACCCTCTTTGAGACATTCACCCCCCACCTTGTGATGCCCCTGCAAGATAGAGCTCCCCCTACCCCCTTCTTACCATTCAGCCCTCCGGGAATGATCCAATGCAGCTGACCACAATTTTTTTTTTTTTTTTTTTTTTT